TCGCTAATAGGTTGGAGGCCATCGCTGGTAGGTTGGAGGCCATCGCTGGTAGGTTGGAGGCCGTTACAATTACAGTAGGTTGGAGGCCACTGGCTTTGATCACCTGGAGCTGCTCCTCCAGGCTGCGGTTGAAGACCATCCTGAGCTCGGATGTGCTTCGCTGATTCTTTTCACCTTCTCCCGGCCTGTGCACAGCGATTGAAGCGTTCCTCGGCCTCTGCAAGCTGATCGGAAAGTCGCCGAGAGAAAGATGACCTGGGGAGATGATGCGTCCTTGCTCCTGGTAGTAAGGCCAGGAGCCCCTAGTAGCGTCCTTGCTCATACATGTTTCGATCACATGGATGACGGACTTTGCATATCCAAAAGCCACGCCAAGCCACTCCTCCAACAATCGGCTGGTCAATTCCTCAGCGGCTTTCACTTGTGTGTGTGTGCCGTCCATGAGTCCATGACGAGTGCCTGACTCTTTGTGCTTCCAATCCAGCATAATCCAGCCAAAGCGCGACATTCTGCTGCCGCACCTCATCGTACTGCTGTCGGATGTCTTCAAACCTCGCTTGCATGCTGTTCAGTGAGTGAGCACTTCAACAGGTTTGGGAGCAATGGCATGCTGAGACTCTGAGACCTTTCATCTCTGGGCTGTTTTGAAGCTGCCACACTGCCAACAAGCGCCACAGGGCACCATAAGGCCGTAAGGCTCCCCAACTGTCGCAGCATCTCTCGCTCTCCTTGATGCTTGGACTTCAGCACGGCAACGTGCTCGGCATCCAAAGGGCTAGAAGCTAACAGTGTGATGATGCGCTCCACCAGAAACCTTAGTCGAGTTCCGCGTAAATTCACCCACTGTAGCTCTTAGTGTGACATAACATATAATATATATAATTTGGACATTGTAATGGTGCTATATAATTAGTCTTTCTTACCTCACGCTTTGATGGCCTCTCATTCTGGTCCTCCAAGCTGCTGCGAGCGGTTCTCGCACTCGCTGCACTGCTGCGTCGCATTGTTCAACCTGGGTCCAGACTCGAGCAGTGTCGCGGTTCAAAGGGAGATCTCACACAATGAACAACGTTCGGAACAACCAGACTGTCTCAAAACATCTCTTGGACGCCCTCGGATGTGTTCCTTTCAAGTTTCGGAGCCGTTTCAGAATCCAACGGAGGAACCGGAGATCGCATGAGATCCGATCCGTTGCCCGTTGATCTGTTGTGCACTTCGAAGTTTCTCCCGAGCTCGACCGTGCCACTCATAGCTTACGTGTACAGCATCTACTAGCTAATGACACAGCAGCTACAGTACCAGTACTGCCTAGCTTTATCTAGCTTTAACATGCTTTAATCCACCCAACCGCCCGCCCCCCCAAAAGCAGGAAAAGGAAACACACAAGTTGGGTGGGCGGCTCTTGTTGGAGAATGTGGAAAACCGGATAGGTAAGTTTGTCGCCCAGAATCTTCTCCAGCTCTTGAAGCAGCTCTTGTTGGCGCTGCTCCTGCTTTGGAGTCGGCATGTCCGAAGCAGAAAAGAGCATATGTTGGCCACTGACTTTGTGAACATGTCAATGTGTGTGTGCGTGTCTGTCTCTCTCTCTCTCTCTCTCTCCAGGCATGGCTCTCTGCCACCTCAATTGACAGTCCTTCAACTTGCCCCCGGTGTTGATAACAAAGTGAGGGAGATGGTGCACAAAGGAGATTAAAGGATCGGTGTAGGATAACTACACTGATGTTTGGGATGTAGTCTGCTACTTTCCATTTGATGTTGATGTGTCCAGTCTGTTGGATCTGTCTTCATGGCCTGGCAATTTTTGTGTGCATGTGCTGCACCGCTACACCCAAAAGTCCACTTGTCGTCCATCTTCCCAAGTGTGCGTGCTCAAAGAATGAATTTATATAGCCCCTTTATTTGCTTGCGCTTCATTCTTGTGAATGGAAAACTGTTAAAGGTGTCCTCCGATGTCAGCCAGTGGCCAGCCCAAAGACTGGGGTGCCCTTACGGATCTTCGGGACTTTTATGGCGTCGCATTTACCAATTCATCTCACCTACGGACCTACTCACAGCAACTCACAGCAACGCACGCACACATGCACACACACACACACATTTACACACCGGCTAAACCCATCCTGTATTCTCTGGAGTTCCGCGCAATGCTGAGAGAGCTCTTCAATGACTTGCATGCGCTGCTTCTCCTCAACTTCTGCAGCAAATCTCCGAAAAGGAATCTAATTTAAGCCTTTGGGGTGAGCCTGAACAACCTTTCTTCCTGATTGCCCTCTATTGCTGCTATTCGGGCTCCTTGCCCATGACCTCATCCACCTGTGCGTCAATGGCGCTGGCCAAAGCATCTGCCCGCTGCCGTGAGGCAATGAGGAGTGCCTTGCAAAGCTCGCCTTTTCAGCCATGCTACTCCGATGGGCCCACAAGGTACTAGGAGCAAGGACGCTACTTAGTGGCTCCTGGCCTTACTACTAGTAACAAGAAGCTATTACTAGGAGCTACAAGCGTCCTTGGGAATCGTTTCACTGGGAATCGTTTCACCTGTAGTAACAAGAACGCTACTAGTAACAAAGGGCATTGGCACCGCTGTACTAGGAGCAAGGACGCTACTAGTAGCTCCCGGACCCAATCGAACCTCAAGCCTCTTCGAGTGCCTCTCCGTGCCGATCCTTCACAACTTCTTGTCCTTGCCTTGAGTTCACGCCTCTTCTCAAGCAGCTGATGCTCTTCCTCATCAAAGGGGCAGTCCTGCAACGCCCAAGAAATCCCACAAAACTACAGCCAGTCAGCACCAAGGTGTCCACCCCTTTTGAAATATATGATGCTCCTGGCGTGGGCTCAATTCCGGTCGTGCAAATTCAATGGTGGTATGGCGGGCGACCCCCAATACTTTTGAAACTTGTCTATATACATGGGACCTTTTTTGTGCTGTGCTAGTATGTGCTGGTTCCTCTTCTCTGCACACCCTTGCGCTCGCGATTAACAATCATCCACTCCTCTCGCCAGTCTCTAGATCAGTGTGTCCTCCTCCAAAGTCTCAGCATCAGTAGGCACCTCTTGGAGAAATGGCAGCGGGACTGCTCATGCAACTAACAATATCCATGTTGATTCAATGGATCAGTTGTGCCTGACTCAGCTTTTCAGGGCCAATGTTGCATCACATTCATCACGGAGTGTTTTTTTCTGAGCCTCTTCCTCCAGCTGCTCCTCGCCAAGCTCTGCAAGCACAGACCAAAAGCCAATTTGCCTCCAGAAATGTCAACTGGAACATGTAGCTGTATAAATGCAGACTCTCCCTGCTTCAAAATTGTCAAGCTTGTCTTCAATGTCGTCCTTACTGCACTTACATCACCAGCCTAAGTACACTCGTGCTCACATCACATACATTTTTTGTGTCTGTATATACCTTACTAGGACGTGCTGATGCGCCCACCTTCTCTCTGGCTCGCTTGGCTCTGACAGGATCGGATCCATGGCGGCACCAGGGCTTGGACCGAAACAACGGGGTGACAGCCGGGCGGAGCTTACAAAAACAAAAGAGATTGGTAAGGCCCCCTTAAAGGAGCCTACCTTACCTGTTCATACAGTTAACGTATGTGTCTACTGTATGTTCTTTTTTGAGCAGAATGACGTATAGTATAGCTGAACACTCAGACCCAGCTCAATCAACTCACATCATCTCACCACACAACTGAAATCAGTGTGAAGAAAAAATAAGACGGGACGTCTGCAAGAAAACAATGCTCTAAAGAAAGAATACCAACATCATAAATAAAATTGTAAAAATACAAAAAGGAAAGCGTTAAGTTACCCTAAGAATCTAGGAATTCTAATGATTAGTGCGAGCGCTTCTTGAAGCGTGAGCTATCCTGCGTCCGAGGCACTAGCTACCCAGCTTCTACTAGCTACCTAGCTACCTCGACTCGGCCTACCCCCCCCCGCCGGGCTAGCAAAAAAAGTCTCCATCTTCGCACCTCCTCCCCTAAGTTTCGGGTCACAAACTCTTTGACCGACTCCTCTTTCTCGGGCATGGGATCCTCACGAACGACATTCAAAGGGCATCCAGGATCAAAGAGGATCAAAGAACAATGATATGGCTGGTAGGCACAACTGCCTGGCGACGTAGGACTCACACCACTAGCGAGACTCTCTGGTCGGGCTGAGATCGTCAACGAAAACCCGTCCTTGAGTCCTACAGCTCCCAAACCAGCCCTGGCTTGGCACGAAAACAGAAGGGCGTCGGCGTCAAGAGCAAAAATGCAGCCAGAAGCCCGCGGTTTATTGTGAGTTTAGTGCACTTCGTGAACCAGCCTGACCAATGTAGAGTGAAATGGAAGTGTTTTGTCACAAAATCACCCAATGCCCTTTACAACTGTAGAGCTTCCTACCACAGCTGCATCTAAAGAGCAACTCCGGGAATGCAAGAACCTGGCAAAGTTCGGCCCCTGGGACGTTAGAGTGAAACAATGAGAGGACCATTCAGCAGCCATCTGCTCGCCTGATTTTCCCTGGCCAGGACAGGAAGTCACCAAAAACTGCATCAGCAGGACCCGCTGGCAGTGCTCGCAAGGCCCCCTGTGATGCGCTCATTCATCTCATCGGAGGGTTGGACAATGGATTGCAAGCTCGTTGGCCAACACAACGATAACAAAAGAGAAGCATCAAGAAAGCTCGGCTTGGGGAGAAACATCGGAGCAAAAAAAGAGCATGAACAATCGGAGGATGACACCACCACCCCACCCCCCGCTCAGATCCGCCCATAGTTCTACAAGCATTCAAAGGTGCCCGCCTCCCACCAAACAAAGCGGTAGCTGTTGGGGTCTGCGAGCATGATGTCGTCCCTTACAACCATGATCCGTTGCAGGATTCAAGTCCCACAATGTGGTGGTGCATTGCTACAGTGAAGTTGGTGTGTACAACGAGTCACGGGTATTACTTGAGACCTCATCAAAGGCTTCTGGAAGAAGCTGGACTGCAATTACAAGGTCTCGTGTTGCTGATTCACTTATTGAAGGTTTAAGTATGTTTAAGTGTGATTCAACTTTGACATGGCCACTGACGTGACCTTTGGCATGTCCACAGAGCACCGTATTGAGCTCTGAAGGCCAAGGTGCTGAAGTCCAATATCGCCTTGGCTGGCTGAAACGAAGCCCCATACCTGGCCTATCGCCACACAACACAAAAGGATTGGCTGCATTGTGACGAGAAGGGCGCAAAAGCGCACATGTAATCAGTTCAAGATGTTCAAGAGGTTAATTTATGGGTCAAAAGTCAAAACCCACTCTATATATATATATATATGTTGCATACACAATGCGTTCCAAGAGGCAAGCTACGCTCAAAATTGCATCCTTAGCTTCCGATTGAACTGAATCAAGAATCAAGGGTTCTGGCTAGGGGCCTTCCTTTTCGAGCTGCTGTTCTACAGAGGGAAGTTGACAGACCGAGACCTCAACTTCTAGTGACTTCGATCGGCCACGTGCAAAGCTCCAACCTTTGCCAAGAGTCTCCTGGCTGAAAGGAGTTTGGCCCTTCCTCCCACAATCGGCCATTGCCTGTCATTGTGGTGATGTTTCCTCCTGCAGGTGTTTGGTGTTGAGGCTTGTCTCCAACAACAGAATTACGAAGCTTCCGAGAGAAAGCCACAGCCTTGTGCCCCTGCGCCCCAGACCCTAGGCTTAAGAATGACCAAAAACATCTCAAAACTCCCAGAATAACCAACCACCCCGAGTCCTTTCTAAAAAACAAATATGTTTGAGATTGTGTGAGAATGTTATGTTCCATTAAGGCTTAGGTTTCGTGTGTGACAGCATGAGGATACATTAGGATGCACATCATGTTCAACCTGTCGCTCAGCGTAGGAGACAAGCACATGTCTGTTTGCGCATTGGCTGGTCTTGCTATCTCAGCATGCTTCTTAACCGGTAGCCTCCCCCTCAACAAACAGCATCCGAGCACAAAGCCACACAGGTGTGGCTGCTTGGCCAGATGCAACCCCTGTCCTGCGCGATCACGAGCCTCAGTCACCACCACCTTGCTCTCCGGCCGGTCCTTCAAGATCCTGGCAAGCAGCTAAATTGGACTCACAAGGGGTCACAGTAGGGACCAGTCCAAACAGTTCTATATACTTGGAGTTCCCTTATATACTGGTCTTGGGGCTACATCACTCAAAGGCTTTGCCAAGCAACTCATCAACTTTGAACCCATTTTGCTTTCAATTGTCAACTTGCCTTCTGCTTTAAATTAAGCCTTCAAGGCTAAAAACAGTGCTCCTTCGGAGACACCAAGGCACAATGTGAAACTAGCATCGGAAGGGTCCCCTTCAGCTCGAGGCTTCGTCAGGCTTTTGATGCTTTGGTTTCGCCACACCAAGCATAAGAAGACTGCAGAAGCCTAGGGCAACCTGCCTCGGGCATCCTGGATTTTCAAAATCGCGGTGGCAACCCTTCAATTGGGGGCCGCTGGGATGACCACAACTTTGTCATCGGTCCTTTTGGCTTGAGATGGCTTGAGCCTTTGAAGGCAAAGGACTTAGCACGAGCCATCCCAACATAAGTCTCGATTCAAGAGGTTCCTCAGCCTTTGCGTTTGTCAATAGCAGGCAGCATGTTCCCCGCGCTCTTCCGGGGAGTTCGCGCTGAATAACTGCCACCATGCCTTGCACGCAGCTGCAACGGGTTCTCTGAACATGCACTGCATCATCGATTACACCCGTTCATTGATTTATACTGTCCCAGGAGAACCCGAGATCGACGCGCAAGGCCGAGAAACAGAGCCACGGTTAACATCAGGATTTGGTGAGCGTGTTATCATATTTCGGGTTTGTACGTTATCGTTCTTTTTGGTGAGTGCAGTACCGGTTTTAAAGACAAACACGGTTTGAAAATCTATGTCCGTCTCTCTATACTTGTCGTGTGTTGACGGTGCTTCAACAAACAATGTGACAAAGTAATTCTCGAAGGGGATCAGTTGGCCAATTATATAAAAGATTATAAAGGCTCGATATCGACGACCGCCCAATCTCGCAGACTCAGCTTCCAAGCCCGGCTGCCTAGCCTTTGCCCCGTCAATATGCAACTGAGCAACAAGTCTTTCCACCGTGGTTCTAGGAGCCTTTCAAGAGACCTGGAGCCCGGTGGAGACGGTCTTTGAATGTCTTTGAGGCATTCAATGGCACACGTCGGCTTCGCATTGATCTACCAGACCACGATTGGTTCGATTGATTGCTCCCAGGACACTCTGCAAGGAGCCGAACTTCTTCAAAAGCTGCAGACACCTCTTCAGTGCCAAGGTTTGGGCTAATATCCTGGAAGCGGCAGAATGAAAGCTTCATGCTTCAGGAAGGCGAATGATTCTTTCAATCATGCACTTGCACGGAGCCTTTTCTATATATCTTTCATGGATTTCATCAGTGCCAGCCTAGTTGCCAGGGTTTCCACAAGGTTTCGACATGGCCATGTCCACCAGAAGGGATAGGCATGATATGCACTGCCGACTATATAGTGAGGCCACTCGACATGGAGACTGCCGGTTATGCAAGATTTGGCCTTCAGCGCTGAGGCAGCTTCAGTGGTGCCGTCGGCTTCCTGTCACTAGCAGGCGGCTGTTGGGCAAGGAAAGTGCAAGCGATGCTAGCTTGACCTAGAAAGATTTTGTCACTGGGCGCAGTATTGATTTGCTCGTGTGCATTGTATTGTGCCCTAGCTGTTCCGTGCCTCCAGCCCCTCCTCGTCCTTAGAGAAGCACACAGAAAATGACAGCTGCCAGCGCCCATTCCAGACCAACAGTCTGGCCTCTAACAGTCTGGCTTCCAACTTAGGACCTGGCCTCCTCTTGCTCCTGCTCCTGCTGGAAATCCCACACATGTCCCGCTACTCACTATTGTTAGCATGTGGTAGTCTGTGTGTGTGTCGACCCCTGTTCCTAAGGGTTTTGGTTTCTTGCATACG